AAATGCTATGCAATAGCTTTACCGCGGCAGTCACCGAGTGCCACACGTCTTTTTTTGTTATTTGATGATTTCGTATTGATATTGAATCTTCAATATTTGTAATGTTTTGGTTTTTATTAGTTAAAACTCTTGTTTATATATTCTATTCTCTATATTTTTACATGGCCAAAAATAATCAATTAAAATTCTTATTAAGTCCATTTTTGCATTTCGTAAAAAGATTTTCTTTAACTCTATATCAAAGTACAGTATTTTTTGTTTTTGCTATTTTTTTAATGTTTTTATTAAGTAAAACTCTTGTTCATAGATTCTATTTTACGTGGCCAAAGTATATATTCTTACATGGCCAAAGTATAATAAATTCATTTAGTTTTATATTACAGTTTAGTTATAGTTTTTATTTATTAAAATTCTTGTTTATATGTTATATTTACTATATTTTTACTAGAAATACAAATAAAATATACATACACAAATTTGTTTTTATTAACATAATACAATATTGATACATGGTAGCCATCCTGCAGATATATTATAATTGTAGCACGAATAGGTCAGTTCAACTGGGGAAAGACCATGCCCTCACCAAAAACTAGTTTGAATTAACAGCTAAATATGCTGCTGTTTCGTTTGGTGTGTGTACACAAGCGGAGACCCTTTAAGCATTCCATCTTACTCCTCAACGATGACAATGTATCTGCATTTTGATTCTTAATAGAGGATAGATGTAGATGTCTAGGGGCCCCTGCATTCACTTACCATCAGGTGGACTAAATGTTCCTTTGCTTTTTCTGTTGCTTTATTACCTTCAACATTGTGTAAATTGAGATTTAGAAATATTAACAAAAGAAAAATTTTACCAGCCTAAAATATTGTTCTACCAATAAATGACGAAAATAATTTCCTTCACAGGAAAGAGGTTGTTCAACTGATTCTGTAATATCTTCTTCTGAAGCAGAATAGATCACCAGAGTATTATTTTGCTGTAGAGCCATATTGTTTAACACAGATGTTGCAACAATCACAGCTAACGTATGATCCAATTTTAGCCTTAATTTTTGAGAAAAGCATGGAAATCTTCTTTTCCACACACCAAATGTCCTTTCAACTATATTTCTGGTCTTGATTTGTGCTTCGTTGTAGATTTTTTCTGCATTTGTAGCTGGATTTAAAAATGGTGTCATCATATACTGTCTACAAGGATATGCACTGTCACCAAGAAGGTGATCTTACTCATTGTTATTCAGGCGTGCTCGGAGGAATGAGTTATTAAAAAAAACTGTACTGTCATGTGTTGATCCATGCTAGTATGTCACGAATTTGTAACTTTGCATCACACACATATATTAATAGGAAAAAAACCTATTCTATTGTTACGAGCTTAGGGTTCGTGACAATAAAAACTGCCGATTTAATTAACAAAATTTACACTTTAATACACTTTACACTAATTAAAACTTAAAAGACACTAATCATTAATCACACTGATTCACTTTATTTTGCTCCGAAGCTTCGCCTGTCTTGCCAAATTCAATACTTCCCCGATCGTGGCATTTAAATAAACTTTTACACCGAAACATTCAGAATATTCAAGTAAATACGCGCGCCAACCTACAAGGCGCCGAAAGTTCGAGTGTAGGGCTTCTAAAAAGCTTAGTTCTTCAATTCGATACTAGATGGCGCTGTCGGTTGAAAGATTAGTCATGTCATTTTCTGGAAAGCTCTCCTCGCTCTGTTACCCGACACTAGATGGAGCTAGTGCCAGACGTCAACTTAGGCACGCAACACTGCCCCCTCCTAATACATGCTCGTCCCGAGCATTATCGCCCCCATAATAACGCGCCAGGCGATCCACATGGACGATCTTAGAAATCCCTCTTGCGCCTTTCTGTATCCGGTAGGTTACATCGTTAATCCTGGTCACAATCCGATACGGGCCGTACCATTTAGTTTGAAGCTTAGGAGATTTCCCTTTGCTGCGGACTGGATTGTGCAACCACACTAGTGAACCTTCGTCGAACCCTTTGTTGTTCATTTTGCGGTCATACCGGGTTTTCATCTTTTCGGATATTTGCTGGCCCGATTGTCTGACGTGCTCATAAATGTCATTCATTTTGTTCCGCAAGTCATTTGCATAACATTATACTGCGTGGGGCATCAGGTGGTATCCCGGTGATCAGGTCTGCGGACAGCCGTAATATTCTTCCAAAGTTTGCGAAAACTGGTGTCACTGATGTACTTTCGTGAACAGCGCTTCGATATGACAACAAAAACGGTTGTATGTGCTTGTCCCAATCTCGTTGCCGATTGTCTACAACTTTTGCTAGGTACCTCTCCAGTGTTTGATTAAATCGTTCTACCATTCCATAAGATTTCGGGTGATAAGAAGTCGTTCTTGTTTTATAAGTACCCATAACTCGGCAAGTTTCCTGGAATATTTGAGACTCAAAATTCCTTCCTTGATCGCTGTGAATCTCTAAAGGTACTCCAAAACGACAGAAGACTTCATGAACTAGTTTATCTGCAACTGTTGAAGCTTCTTGATTTGGAATGGCGAAGACTTCTGGCCACTTAGTGAAGTAATCCATCACAACCATGAAATACTTGTTACCGCTTTCGCTCTCCGGGAACGGCCCCGCCACTTCAATGGCTATTCTCTTCCATGGTGCACCAACATTGTACAACTTCAATGCACCTCTACTACGAGTCTGAGGTCCCTTTACAGCCGCACAACTTGTACATTTGCGACACCAATCCTCGACATCGTTTCGACAGTGGACCCAGTAAAACCGTTCTCGGATCTTCAGTAGCCTCCTAAATAATCATTATGGTACAGCTGTAGAACATCCGGTACTTTAGCTTAAGGGACAACCATTTGCAAATGACACCTGTCCCCCGAACATTTTCCCATTTACGGCACAGAACTCCATCTTGAAGCAGCAAGCTGTCCCACTGGGCCCAATAGCTTTTAGTGGTCGAACTTATTGCTGAGACGTCGCTCCACTTGGGCTTGGGAGCACTAACCTTCATCCATTGCAGAATCGGCTTGATGTCCGGATCTTCCCGCTGTGCACGTTGTAAGCTGTCATTCCACTCGTTGCTGAGGTGGTCTGTCCTGAGCATCCTCACGGATACCACTTCCTTACTCTCTTGTCTAGTACAATGTTTGCAATCTTGAGGACAAGGTCTTCTTGACAATGCATCTGCGTTGCCATGACATTTTCCGCTGCGATGTTCGATCTCAAAGTCGTATTCCTGCAGTAGTTCAATCCACCTCGCAACTTGTCCTTCTGGATTTTAAACTGCAATAACCATTTTAGTTCAGCATGGTCAGTTCGTAAGTAAAATTTTCGCCCCAGAAGATATTTGCTAAAATGCTGCAACGACTTTACCAAAGCTAGCAATTCAATAGTTCCTTTCCGGTTTTGACAACGACTCGCTGAAGTATGCTATCACGACCTCTTGGTCACCATTCCGTTGAGACAACACACCGCCAAGTCCTATATCACTTGCGTCTGTGTCAACTATAAATTCTTTGCTTGCATCAGCGTATCCCAAAATAGGTGTTTTGCACAGACGGTCCTTGAGCTCCTGGAATGCGATATTGCAACTTTCATCCCAGCAGAAATGTCGCTTCTCCTTGGTTAGCTTACGCAGAGGTTTGGCTATATCTGCAAAGTTCTTCACAAATCGCCGGTTATAGGAGCACAAACCCAAAAATGCTCTAACTTGCGTCTTATCTTTTGGAACCGGCCAATCCTTGACAGCTGCGATTTTCTCCGGATCCGTGCGGATACCTTCTTCCGACACTACATATCCCAAAAAGTTTGAATAGTGAACATTTCTTCGGACTCAACTTGAGATTGGTACTCTGAATCTTCATGAGCACGCGTTCCAGGTTTTGAAGGTGTTCCTCAAATGTACGGCCCACGATGATTATGTCATCCAAGTAAACCAGACAGGCATCGCCAATTAGCCCGGTAAGTACAAGTTCCATCAGCCTTTCAAACGTTGCTGGAGCATAGCACAACCCAAACGGCATTACTTTAAATTGTATTATATATTGTAATAATTCCCGTCGAGAACGCAGTTTTCTCCTTGTCCTTATGGTCAATTTCAACTTGCCAGTAGCCACTTTTTAGATCCAGCGTTAGCACGCTTAGCAACCACTTTACTCCTGTAAGCATGTCCAGCGTGTCATCAATTCTTGGCAAGAGATAGCTTTTCTTCTTCGTAACGTCGTTCAGACGGCGGTAGTCAACACAAAACCGCATGCTGCCATCCTTCTTCTATACCAGTACCACGGGTGAACACCATAGACTAGAGGAAGGTTCAATAACATCATCTTTCACCGTTCCTTCAATCATGGTTTCTACTTCTTTTCACGTGCTACCGGCAATCTTTTTGGCCGCTATAGGCAATTCTTCTCCTGTGTTTATTTTGTGTTGAACTAAGCCAGTCTTTCCTATGTCAGAATCGTTTGATGAGAATCGGCATATTTATATATATATAATACATCGGCGTACTTGAGTAACAACTTCTTTGTCTTGACCATTTCGTTCGGGGAGAGAACGCTGCGGCAGTCTTCCAAAGTGGGGTCACTCTCGTTTGTGCATCCTTACTAGGGGTCTCACTCGATAGATATTGGCATCGACGTAACCAATCCACTTACTCACAAGTACCAACCAGCGTGCCTTTTTCTATAATCTGTTCCCGGTCACAAAGGTTCAGCACACGTACTCCTGAGATGTCAGTGGTTCTGACCAAGGTTCGAGCTACTTTCCATGGAAGGTCATTGTTTACTCTTTCCACAAGTACACAACGGTGAGCTTTCCCAGCGTTTCGAGGAAGACTAACCGGTACAATCGTTTCCGATCTCGGCGGAAGAACAATCTTCTTAATGCTGTATACGTTCCCTGGTGACGCACCTTCCATAAAAAGTTCATGCTGTCCACATTTCAAAACACCTTGCTTAACGTCGATCTCAGAACAATTATTCCTCATAAAGTATTTCTAAATAATTCTGCTTGCTCACCTCCAGGTGATTGAATAGGTATGTGTGATCCATCTACACAATCAATTACATTTGGAATTCCTGCGATATCAAAAAATTGTGCTTTTTTTCTCTTAGGTCTACAACATTTGTTACTTTTATAACTCCTTGCTAGCTTGGCTATTTCCTTGCTTACTTTATATACCACTCTGGATGTAGTAGTTTTGTAAACATTAATGTCATCACCAATTACTATTTGGAAAATACCGGTAGCATAAAATCGTAATCCTAAGAAAATTTGTTCTAACACAGATAATGTATACTTCCGATGCATAATGGGTGCTAGATCAGAGCTGATGGTATCACTTAGATGTATAACAGTATTCTTGACAAAGCGATATCTCAATTGAAATTCTTCATCTGTAGACATTTCGAAAGGTTTTTTCCTATGTCTTAAGTTTCTGGGTACTGATACACTAGAAATAAATTTCAGTACTTCCAAATTAGACTCTGAAGAGTTACTCGTATTCATTGCACTTCTAATTTTATCCCTTTAATATTTGAGTATTTAGCGCTTACTGGAAATTTATTTTAATAATAACACGATCTGACTAAAAAGTTGATGCAGTTTGCTTGATATTAAATGTCAAATAAAGTTATGGAACCGATAAACGGCACTGATTGGCCAGTTAAATAAAACTTAGCTTAAACCGAGTTTATCTTGCATTGCGATGTTCGGAAACGCATTTTCATAAGTTATCGAACCAATGGCGCTAACGAATAGATAAACTGCCGATAAAAGTACCTCAGAAACCGAGCATAAAGAGTATAAGCCACCCCATAACGTTCCATAACGTGAGTGTAGTAAGAGATGCTGCTGCTCATCAACTAAAACAGTAGATGAGCAGCAGCATTTTTCTGATAAGGGGTCAAAATTATAAAAGCCATATAAAAGCCAGTTCATTTGACCCATAAAAAGTTAAAAACTAGCAGTTTACATATACGCCATTATTTGGAACAAAAAAGGGTTCACCGCGCGCTGATTTCAACGCGGGATGACTCCAGTTGGGGAACTTTTCAGATATGCAGGTTTATTCGCGATGTTTACTTTCACTGCCGAAAACTTTCTAAATTGACACTTTAAATTGAAATTACAAATAAATCGAATTTAGATACAATGAAATTTACGTTTGGATCAGTTCGGCTTCGGCGATTATCGTGAAATTTACTTTGTATCAGTACGGCTTCGGCGATTATCGTATTTGACAAGTGACTTTTGAAATTACATCAATGCTGTTAAAATTAAAAAAATACACGCAGAGTTAAAATAACAATAAAACCTTTACTTCCATAAAATCAGGTTACTTTGATTTTTAAAGTACTTTTTCGGAAGAGTCTGTTCATTTGCATTTTATACTCATGTGAGTTATGAAACCAAGGCTGTCATAAAAATCTTATTATTTCTGAAGATATGAAAGCTATCATAAACGACAAACTGATTTATAAGACTCATTAAAAGTAAATAAAATAAAGTAGTAGTTAACATACGTCTCACGACTTTGCACAGTGCTCCTTATTACCATGTCATTTTTCTATACGTTGTAATTTCGGTAAATCATCCCGATGATGGTTACCGGCCTGGATATCCTAAGTTTGATAAGTTTTTATTCTTTTAATAAGTATTCAGTAGCATCCTATTTAGCAGTAGGTAGATAGTGCTCTTATTAGAATTAATATTGAAAGCCAAAACTATAGTATTTAGTGATATCAGCGACAGAAGGTTGACTAAGGTGCGACTGGTGCAGCCTTAGAGCCACCCGAACGGCGTAACTATTTATTAATTATATACGTGCAAAAGGTATACATTATATGGATTCTTTTAAAAGCTAGGCTTCCGTTAAAATAAGGTATCTGCGGCAATAGCGGTTATTCACCGCTATTACCGCAGATACCTTATTAAACTATTTTAAGATATGACCATATTATGAAAAAAAAAATTGTTGTGTTTAGTTGTTAATATTGTCAAACGATCTCCATTTATTGCTTATGTCTAGCTATTTTATGACAGTATCAACTATCTACATACAAAATTTCATTCAAATCGGTTCAGTATTTTTTATATGAATCGTGAATACACTAATTTGGCTTCAGTATATTTTATTTAGTGCCCTGGACTTGTTGTTTCAAGAAAATAGTAGAATTACAGACACGACTTTTCTACACATTTGTTATAATTTGTGTAGATGACGCACCCTCATATCAAAATTAATGTTTTTGTCCTTTTTTATAGTAAAAGAATAGTTAAACATGTCAAAACAAAAGCAAAATGCGTAGGTCGGTATTGCAGAAAATGCGACGGTGTACAAATTAATTTTAACTGATTTTTGTGAGTTGTATTAAGTTTTAATTTGAATTGGAATCATTCAAAATTAATGTTATAGGATTGTTTATACCATTTCTTAATTTTTTTAATATGATGATTGTCTTTTTAGTTATAATGTGACTTAGCCCAACTAAATAATAAATTAATGTCATATCACATTAAAAAGACTGGTTAAAACTTTCTATAATGATTTCTTAAATTTACGCGAACACTACACATTGGATAAAACTATTATTCACAGATTTTATCGCGTTTAATTACTTTAATTTATTTTTATTATCCCGACGATTCGGGTGCTTTACAGCACCCATGGTCACGGGGAGTGAGATGTTTGATGTCCCAATGTCATAGTCCGGCTACCTTCAGTTTTTGAATATTTTAATATTAAATCGGACCAAAAATTAATATTCAAAAACTAAAGGTAGCCGGACTAACTATGACATTGGGACGTCAAACATCTCACTCCCCCCCGTGACCATGGGTGCTGTAAAGCACCCGAATCGTCGGGATAATAAAAATAAATTAAAGTAATTAAACGCTATAAAATCCGTAAATAGTTTTATTAAAACGTTCTATTTAATAGACGCAAGTATCGCATCACGGGAGTTAATTTTGAATCCCAGTCTAACATGCATAGATATAATTTGTAGATTTTCAAATTGATCTATGTCTGAACTAATCACCAAAGATTGCCACAAAGTTGGTTTTCAAACATATCTTATTCTTAAGCAGCCTGTGAGATTGCGCCGCAGGACGTGCCTCTCCCGTTGTAGAAGGAATTATTAAAATCACAAAGTATCGCAAGCGAATTTTCGATCAGAGCTGAACGTCTGAATCTGGTCTGGGTATTTTAAGTCTGGTAAAGAATGCTTTTACGACATTCACGAGATAAAATTGGGTAATGAAATCTCTTACGTCGCGACCACACCTAAACTCGAGTATCTATTTTATTTTAATGATTGTTAGTTTTTTTTTCTTGGTAGCAGAGATGTAAGAATATCTGCTACCCCACGTTATCCTATGACTGTCATAAGGAAGGACAGAGGAAAACAAAGTCAGGATACATTCTTTAAATAACAACCTAAAACTTAAAAAAGTGAAAATTATGATAACTACGGGGCAGGGAGTATAGTCTATATAAAGGAATATATAAATGATTAACTGAGATCCGAAAAAGGTTTTCGTTGCAGTTACAGGTAAGTGTGAGTAACTTACCAAAGAGCAACTTTCGTCCAACAATATTCTGGTCATAAGACAGAGCCAAATCCTAATGGCTCCTCTGCTCCCTAGAAATCGAATAGCCCAATTGAGAATGAAATTACAGCGGTTCTTCTGAAGGCAGATGGAATACCAGTACTATAACTCCTTTCGAAGCTCTTCAGTTTTTGTCCTCCACAGCGTATAGAAGAAATGCAGCGATCTTATTCTTCAAGAAAAAGAACAACAATCCGCTCTATTCTTTCTTTCTGAGCCGACTCTACTCGCTGTTTTCTCGAATTATTGCGATTGTCTTGCACGCCGACTTGAAGATTTCCAACCCCCCGAAAAGCCGGTTTCTGAAAAAGCATGAGTACCATAGACTAAGTCTGTAAATTGTAGAATTTTTGACACTTATTTTTCACAGACCACTAAAGTCAATGAAAGTTATTTCAAATATATTTATAGTAATAGTGTACAATGGGGGTGTACTACCCCTCAATAAAAAAGTCAACATAATCAATTACGCAGTAAGCCATACCCCCACCATAGGTCGGGGTCGGGCGGGTTATATTATGATAATAATTTGATGAATTAAATTGCTTAAGTTTCTTTTGGGATTGCTTGTCTAAAATTTTTGTTTGTGAAATAACTAACTTTAGATTTTTTAATGAAATAACTAATTTCACATACGATATTATTGTTATGTAATTATATAAAAATATTCTCTCAATTAATGTTATTCTTTCCGTTTACTTTTAGTCTTTCCATAAAAATTTTAACATTCAATATTCTCTCCTTTTTCTTCCGCAGATTTTGTAGAGTTAACTCTGCAATCTCGGGGTTCACCGTTTAGATGACACGTCGTCGAAAGTAATTAATATTGGCCACTGAAAGTAGAGATGGCATCGATTAGTAACACCAACTAGTGAAAGAACTAATAGACGTGTTGTGATTTTGAAAATGTATAGTACTGATTTATTACATAAGAAGAAAAGATACATTTATAATAATATACGTTACAAATAGGTAACGACATAATATAAATTCTCATATAAGTGTTAAGGGAAAATGTGTATATAATTCTTAATTGTGTTTCTAATTAGTGCTAAATTCAATATAAAGATTCGTAATAAGTTCAATTTTTACTCATGACAAGTTTAATATCTACATGTATGTATATGTATATTTAAACAGTGGTTGAGCCACGTGGCAGCCTTTGCTGTTACACGTATAGACCGGCTTGAACCGGGGTGGTACCACGAGCTCACAGATAACCAGCGAGGACTAGAAGCTCGTCTTCTGCATTTAGTCTGGTGAGTGCAGGTGGCCGGAGGCCAGTTTCTCCCCCCCTCTCCCTTATCATGGTAGCGGAGTTAAATATAATACTTCACCTTCAAGAAAAGGGCTTACTCCTTTCTAAAGGGCCGCCAACAGACCTGCAATTCTCCTGGTATTGCGGTTGTTCATGGGCTGCGGTAGTCACTTAACATCAGGTAAACCATATGCTCGTTTACCCCGCTCTTCTATAAATAAAAAACACTACCCCAGGAGGGAACTAGCACCACCGGTGACAGAGAATCCCTCGCTGAGCATCCACACCCAAGAGACCCTTAAGCAATAAGTCAAAGGCGCCTCCTGCCACGCTATCCGTGAGTTTCTGCAACATTAGGAGACTTCATTCAAACCTTAACGCCGTCCACTACTACCCTACCCGAGGAAAAATTTGGGATGTGCAAGCGGGATTTAGAAAGGGAATGGGATGTACAGATCAAGTCTTTTCCATGCGCATGATCGCGGAGAAGTTTCTGGCCAAAAACCAAAAGGTTTTTTGTGCGTTCATGGACTTGGAAAAGGCCTATGACAGAGTGGATAGGGATTTGCTATGGCAAACACTGAACTCATTTGGGTTGAGCGCTGGCTTGATACAGGCATTGGACTCTCTTAATAGG